TGAGCTATGCACAGGAGTTTGTTCCTGACATGATCCCGAGCATTTGGCTGTAAAGTCATGGCATAAAAAAACCCCACAATCCAAACAGGGTTCAGCAGAGACCACCTGCATTGCCCACCTGCCCTCGTTCATCTCTATCCCAACCCATTCATCACTCTTGGTTTATGGATATTTGGGAAATAGTAGGAATATTTCTTCAAGACTCCATTTCCCATCGTTTCTCACTCCAGGAGGACTGTGTGTAACAACATGTTTCTGGCAGCTCTGGGGAGGTTGAAATTACAGTTCTCTATTAGAAAACACATTAATTTGGGGCTTGTTTTAGTTTGACCCAGCCTGCAAAGGTCGTCCAGTGATGGCCATTTCTAGCAGCTGGACACAGAAGGATGGTCTGGTGCCCACTTCTTATTGAGACCCTGTTTTCTGCAGGTGTCTCTCACACCAGCACAGGATGCAAAAATTCCTTGCAGTGTCCTCTCCCAGCCATTTACATGGACTATGTGCTGGCTGGAAGATCAGACCTGGAATAAAGGCCAGGTCAGATGGGGCTTGGAGCCACCTGGGATAGTGGAAGGTGTCCCTTCCCATGGCAGGGAGTGGAACAAGATGGTCTTTAAGGTCCCTTTCAACCCAAACCTTCTATGATTCTATGAAGATATTCACCCACCTTTGCAGGCAGAACAAGGCTGGAAACAAGCTAAAGGAATAACAAACCACTCCTGTTGCTTTCTTGGAGATTTTGGGAGGTTATTCTTGTCTTAGCAGCAAATACTGTGAAAGCAAACACCAAATGTTTTGGTGTCAACAGCTTGTCATGGAAATAATGACAGTGTTATCACTGTGGAGGGCTGTGTGTGAATCCCAGAATCACAGAGTCATTAACATTGGAAAAGACCTCCAAGATCATCAAGTCCAACCTTGGACCAATCCCCACCTTGTCCCCCAGCCCAGAGCACTCAGTGCCACAGCCAGTCCTTCCTTGGACACCTCCAGGGGTGAGGACTCCACTCCTTCCCTGGGCAGCCCCTTCCAATGCTTAACAAGCCTTTCCAGGAAGAAATTCCTCTTGATGTCCAACCTGAACCTTTCCTGGCACATCTTGAGGCCGTTCCTTCTCCTCCTGTCCCTTGTTCCCTGGCAGCAGAGCCCAACTCCCCCCTGCTCCCCTCTCCTGTCAGGGGGTTGCAGAGCCAGAAGGTCCCCCCTGAGCCTCCTTTTCTCCAGGTTGAGCCCCCCCAGCTCCCTCAGCTGTTCCTGCTGCTCCAGCCCCTTCCCTGGCTCTGTTCCCTTCCCTGGACATGCTCCAGCACCTCAAAACAGGACTGTGAAAATATTCACACCTAATACATATAAGAACTGGAGGGGAGTGGGATGTATCCCAAAACCCCAGGATGAACTGGTTTGGTTCCTCCTAAAACATTCAAAGGAGAGTGGCAGGATCTCACCTTGGTGCTCTCCAGGCACTTTATTCACCATTTCCAGCCCACACGGGGTCACCTTCACATTTCTTCACCCCCATCTGCACTTCCTCAAGGAAGGAAATCATCTCCTTGGAGGAGAGTCAGACCTCTTGGTGAGCAAAATAAGACTGTATGAGAGGAACTGAGGGTCTGTGAAGATGGAAAGAGCCAGGTTTCCCTCTCGCTCCTGCACAGGAGAAGTGGCTCTGTGTGAGTGTCACCGAGGCGAGCGAGAGCAGAGACAGATGTGGAGCCCGGGATGGGAAAATAAACTCATTACTCCATCTGCCCGCCGTAAACAGCGTGAAATTAGCAGCGAGAGAGGGATAAAACTCCAGACAAATGGCTTTTTAAAGAGAGCAGGGGGAGCTGGAAGGGCTGCTGGTAGAACAGCAGAGGCATGGAAGACCCAGACGGGCGCACATCCTGATTTTCGGTCAGGGAGGACGAAAATCCCACGGCACAAAACTCCGCGAGGAGCTATTTTGGAAGGCAAAAAGCAGAGAGGCCACTCCATCTTTTGGGAGAGAACACCTGATATTGCTCCTGTCCCGCCTGGTAGGGAGCACCATCCATTTTATAAGTCACAGAGATTTATTTCTTTTTTTTTTCCCCCCCTAAGAGGCTCTGTCTTAATGTTGCATAAAATTCCTCTCCGAGGGGCCGTGCGAGGAGGGAAACGTGGTGTTCTGTTGTCTCAGTTGCAAAGACACCTCTAACAATGAAAGCCCCTGAACGATTTGGGGTTTAAGTGACGTGGCCACGGGTCGTTTGTGATGCTCCCTGCCATAAAATCTGAATTGGGGGCGTTCTATGCCGTGGGTTTGGGCTGTAAATATTCACCCCTGGCCCTTGTTCCGCGGAGCGAATCTCAGCCCGAGGATATATTTACTTAAAAATTTCTCAAGTGGTCAATCTGCTTGATTTATTTAAAGTGGGATCCCGAAGTGTTTTACAGCTTTTACAGGCTGGTTGTGTTTATAACCATCCTGGGGAGTATCTTCTGCAATTCATGAAGTGGAGAAGGGGAAGGAAGGTCATAATTTCTGCTCTAACCTACTTTTCCAGCAGCTGACAGGACACTGACAAAGTCATCTCTTCCAGAATGAAACCCGCCGTGCTTTATCCTCATCCAGAGCAGATCCTTTGGAGAAAGGCAGGGTGAAATAAGCCAAGCACTTTTCATCTTTATTCCTACGGATTCTGCTTGGATATGTTCAGATATTTTATGGATCGCAGTGAAATTGCAGCCCAAACGATATTTCAAGGAAACTCATTCCTTGTTTTCGGAGTTCTTCAATATATGACAGCCCAAGGCAGAGTTTCCTGCATGCTGGAAATAATTTCTCCCTCCACATTTGGCAGATCCAAACAAGCCTTGAGTGCTGCATAAACCAGGTCTATGAATAAATCAGGGGTGGGAGAGCTGGGATCCGAGGTGTTGTGAGATTTGAAATACCTGAAAGCTTGGCATTGGCCACGAGGCACTTGGAAATGGTCTGGGGTTTGATGAAAGGTTTTGCATTCGAGATGCCATCGGGATATTTCGGGAGGAAACCTCCTGGTGGGTTCATCCAAAGTTTGTCATAAACATCACTGAAATATCTGCACTCCAGCTGCTGCTTTCTACTCTAGTCAAGAGCAGCAGAGGCAGCTCCTTCTTAGCAAACACCCTGAGACTGCTGAGGGAGGAGAGATGGATATACTGGGCTCAAATACTAGACTGGGAGGTGCAGAAATTGAGGAGAGGTGGCAAGTGGAAGGTGAAAAGAAGGGACTTTATGGAGAGATCAGTAGATCTTGGAGAGAGCAGAGATTCCATGAAACCCTCAGAGATGGAGATCAAGGACTCACAGTTTTCTCAGGAGGGAAGAATTTCTAATATTGTCTAACTTGGGTCTCACCAGTGACAGGTACTGGGGTGGCTCAAAAAGCAGAAGTTGCATCCACCTTATCCATCCTCACCCTTCTGGTTCCCATCCTTATCCATCCTCACCCTTCTGGTTCCCATCCAAAGGGAAGGCAGGTTATGTCAGAGACAGGGAGCTCCTTTGGGAGGTGTTTGAGAAATCCTCCTTCAAGGTCATGGCAGCAGTTTCTGTTTTTATGGTGCAGAAGGATCTGAAAATGATATTACAGGCTCTGGAACTGATTCTCCCCTTCCATAACCCAGGTTTCCCTCCTCAGCACTCCCCCAAGCCTGTGTCACCACATTCCAGAGCATCCCACCAGCCAGAAGGGGTGACATTCCCATGGTCCTAGCCCTGTGTCCTCTCCACCACCTGGATGCCACCATGTCCTGCTGAGCACAGCTGAGCCTCTGGTCCTGCCTTTGTTGTGAGCCTTGGGGTGGGAACATCCCTAAGGAGTCAGCTGGGATGTGTCCAGCCTGTTTTAGCAATTAATAACATGGAATTGGGCTGCTCCAGGCACTGGGACACAGCTCCACTGAGCCCTGATCAATTAATTTATTGATGTCCACGTGGAAATAACATCTTCCTCCCATGCTTTGGTCTCCCCTCCCCATATGGGGAACAAACCCCTTTGTATTTTCACGAGTAGCTCTGAAGACAATTTCCAAAATCCTGGAAAAAGCCAAGACAAACCCAGTGGGAGTCCTGGGGATGTGCTGACAGGGAACAAGGGCCAACTCCTGGGACACAGGTGGGCTGACTCTGTGTCAGAACACCCACACAGAGCCATTCATAGCTCCAGGGAGGCGTAGGCACAGGGAATTCGTGTGCCAGGAGGAGAGGCCGGGGGTCTCCGTAGGGTTGGGCTGCTGTTAACTTGGGAGAGCAGGAATGAGGGAGAAAGCAGGGAGGAGAATGGGTTTGGGAAGATTTTTTGTGCTCCGAGAAGCAAAGAGGAAGCACCAGGGATGAGTTTCTGTCACTTGTAATCCTGCTACCAGGCTGACCCTGTCATGGAATCATGGAATGGTTTGGGTTGGAAGGGAAAGTGGAGATCATCCAGTCCCACCCACTGCCATGGGCAGGGACACCTTCCACTAGCCCAGGTTGCTCCAAGCCCTGTCCAACTTGGCCTTGGACACTTCCAGGGATGGGGCAGCCACAGCTTCTCTGGGCAGTCTAGAGGAAGGAGGCTGTGGGAGACACAATCCATTCCCTGCCTGGGGTTGCTCCATAGCCCTCACACCTCTTCCCTGGAGGAGAGGAGATTGAGGGGAGACCTCATTGCAGTTAAAAATTCCATGGGAGGGGCAGAGGAGGGGCTGACACTGAGCTCTGCTCTGGGGGGACCAGAGACAGCACCCAGGGAATGGCTGGAGCTGTGCCAGGGCAGGCTCAGGTTGGATCTCAGGCAAAGGTTCTTCCCCCAGAGGGTGGTTGGGGCACTGCCCAGGCTCCCAGGGGCAGTGGCACAGCCAAGGCTGCCAGAGCTCCAGGAGGGTCTTTGGACGACGCTCTGAGACAGGGTGGGATTGCTGGGGGTGTCTTGCAGGGCAGGGGTTGGGACTGGATGGTCCTGGTGGGTCCCTTCCAACTCAGGATATCCTGTGACTCTGCTTTCCTTGCAGAAGGCATGGCAGAAGCCGTGGGCTCGAGCAGGGACTGCCTGCAGGCCGGCGAGTCGTGCACCACCGACCCCGTGTGCAGCGCCAAATTCCGGACCCTGCGGCAGTGCATCGCCGGGAACGGCGCCAACAAGCTGGGCCCCGACGCCAAGAGCCAGTGCCGGAGCACGGTGACAGCCCTGCTCTCCAGCCAACTCTACGGCTGCAAGTGCAAGAGGGGCATGAAGAAGGAGAAGCACTGCCTGAGTGTCTACTGGAGCATCCACCACACCCTCATGGAAGGTCAGTCCTCTGCAGGGCGCTCGTTCCCGGTGGCCTTCCCAGGAGGGAGTTGCTCGTGGAGCTCTCTGCAGAGCTCCTGCAAAACAAGGTTGTCCCTGTAGCCTCCTGTTCCCTCTCAAGACCTGCTGATAGGAGCCGAGGGAATGGCTGGAGCTGTGCCAGGGCAGGGTCAGGTTGGATCTCAGGAGAAGTTTCTTCCCCCAGAGGGTGGTTGGGCACTGCCCAGGCTCCCCAGGGCAGTGGGCACAGCCCCAAGGCTGCCAGAGCTCCAGGAGGGTTTGGCTGATCCTCTGGGGCACAGGGTGGGATTGTTGGCATGTCTGTGCAAGGCCAGGGCTTGGACTGGCTGATCTTGGTGTGTCCCTTCCAACTCAAGATATCCATGATTCTACTGACTCTCCTGATACTGACATTTTGGGCAAAGAAACCCTGAAAACCTGAGGCACCTCCTGCCTTTTCTTTTATTTTTTTTTTAACTTGCCCTCTCTTTTATGACATTCCCAATATACCTTGAGATCTTTTCCCGGGGGAAATGCACGGCATGTTTTGCATCCAAGGATGTCAACCAAGACCGTGAGCGTCATGGAATTCACAGAAACACCACATAAAGCACAGGCACCGAGGAAAAAAACAGCGTGAACCTTAAAAAAAAATCACTCTCTTGGAGCCTCTCGAACGCACCAGTGTCTTTGGGTTAGGGAAGATTTGGGGCTGGTGACATCAAGCTGGAATTTAAAGTGTTCCCAGAGCCGGGATTCAGTAAGTTTGGATTTTGACGGGTTTTAAGAGTCGCCATAAAATCGCACCTCGGTGGCCGTAACTCTTCCTTGTCAGGCCGAGGAGTGTTTTATGCACCATGAAAATTAAAATGGGGAATAAAACAGACCCTTCCAGCCATGGGCTGGGAAATAGATTAATAAAAGACTCCTGGATTAAACCTGGAAGGAGAAGTGCAGAGGTGAGGCCATGGGCCAGAAGGCCAAGCAAACCAAAGGGGATGGAGAATACAATGCCCAGGCTTTCTGGAATGGGAGCTGGTTGGGAATGGGAACTAGTTGGGAATGGGAACTGACTGATCAAGTTCCTGGAAAGCTTTCAGGTGCCACAGCTTGAAGGGTGAAGAGCACAGTGCTATGAACTGACTGGGGAAATCAGAGGCCTCAGCACCCTCCAGGATCCAATTTTTCCCATAAAAATGCCAGATGAATTAGTTTCCATTGAAGTGAATCCTGGGGAAGAGGTGGCAATCCAAGGACATTCATCTCAATGGTCTGTGTCACAATTCCTTCCCTGCTGACCTGCATGACAAACTTTGGCCACAGGTCATCTGTGATGTGGCTCTGTAGGACGGTGGGGTCAGGAGAATTTCCAGCTTTGGGAAGTGGAATGGTTTGGGTTTAAAGGGACCTTAAAGAGCATCTCATTCCAACCCCCTGACATGGCCAGGGACACCTTGCACTAGAAGGAAGAGGAGAGAGAGGCTGGCAGAGACCAGGAGTGGGTCTCCAGATGCAGAATAGAAGTTGGATGGGCTGGATGAACTTCCCGCCCAGCAACTTGGGACTTCCACCTTTGGGATGGCTGCGAGAGGGCTGTTTTAGGAGGCTGGCAAGACTCTGCCCCCCTTCTCTGCTGCATTTTTTTCATGACTGAGGTCACTTGCAGTGCAGATTCACTCCCCAAACCTGTGGTTTCCTTGCCTTAATTTCCCCGGGGTGATACATTTCATAACAGCCCCGGAGTCCTCACGCGTTTAATCGACTGAGAAAGGAACCCACACAGAGCTTTGTCTCTCACTCACTCACACCCAGGAGGCTGCAAAAAGCTTCTTAGAAGCCCTCTTGTAAAAACAATAGTGGAAGTGTGTGCTCAGGGAATTTGCAAAGCACGCTGTTTACTCAGGGCCACCTTCCCATTTAGAGACACAATAACACGATGACAACCCGATAACAATCCTCTGATAAAGGTGCTTTGTCATCAGGACATAAAACTGCTACTCTGGGACGTACAAATGGGCCCCTCTCCGGTGGGTAACGATGCAGGATATTTCAATGAAGGTGTAAAGCTGCCTTGTAATGCACCTGTGGTAATTCCAGGGCCTTGTGTATCCTGGGAGCCATTTCTTCCTGGAGATCAGCATATGCCCGGAGCGTGAGGTTTGATAGTCCTTTTATCCCAGCTGCTGTTCCACATCCATCTAAATGTCTAATAAAGCAAGGAATTGATGCTGAGCTGTTTGCTTCAGTAATATTCCGTGGGATCCATCAGGATGACGGGGCAGTACAGGCCGTTGTGAATAAAATCAGCTTCCCAGAGACTCAAAAATGAGGAGAGGAAGCTCCTGCGGGAGCTGTGGCTCATTAGCTCTGTGCCAAGTAATAATGGCAAGAAGAAATGGGGAGGTGGTAATAAATATGGGGGGTGTTGTCACACACACAGCCCTGGTCGTGTCCTAGAAAGAGATGAGGACCATATCCCAGGGAGAGACACAGAGGAAAGAGCAAGAACAGTGATGGAAACGCCGTGTGTAGAGGGAGCTGGTGGTTTGAACCCTGCCCACAGCCTGGTGTCCTCAGTGACACTCCCTGGAGAGCGGCTTGAGCTGCAGAGGATTATAACTCAACAGTTCCCTGCCCCACTCCAAGGCTGAGATATATTTTTAAAAGCCAGTCCCATCCTATTCCCTTCTCCAAGGATGTGGCCACACACCAGTCCCTGCGACTCTGGGGATTTATTTATGGCACTTGGAGCCACCAAACAATCCTGCACTGCAGCCTCTGAGCCTTGTGCACCTCAGCCATCCCTCAGGAGCCTCAGCTGCCCTCTCACCAGCTTCTCCTGTCCCCCCAGGAATGAATGTCCTGGAGAGTTCCCCCTACGAGCCGCTCAGCAGGGGCTTGGATTACGTCCGCCTGGCCTCCATCACTGCAGGTAGGTGGGAGGGGAGCTGCTCTTAACTGGTTCAAATTGGGGGGGGGGCTGGCTGTGGAAGAGCTACAGACAGAGAAATCCTTTGTGAGCATTGCCTGGTTCAGGCCCAGCAGTTGCTTTTCCAAGGAGTTGCCTGTGATTCCTGTGCTAAACTGTTACGTGCTCTGGGAAGAACCACTTGTGGTTTCATCCTTTGGCTTTTTTTGTGTGTCTGTTACGGTGTGGGCATGAAAAAAAAGGGATGTGGTGGGAAGACCTCTTCCAATGGGCACGTTCTCCACAGCAGGTGGATGATCTGTGCCCTGCAGACACCTCAGCAAACAGGAGCTGCTTGGGTTTCAAAGGTGCTTCCACTTCAGTCACAGGGTCAAACTCTGCAGGGGTAAAAGGTCAAAAACCCACCCTATGGGTTGATCCCAGACACAGCCTTTAACCCCATGCCCCGAGGGCAACCTCAGCCCCCTGTTCTGCTCAGCATCATGTAATCCCCTTAACAACTTAAACAGAGCTGCCTGACACCTTTTAACCCCTGGAGGGCACAAACAGGGCTCAGCAGTTAAAAGGTCGGCCAACAACCCATCCATCACCAACCAGCTCCTGCACCAGCCGTGGGGGAGCTTTACCAACAGTGATTTGGGTTATAAAACTCCCTGTCTGGGAGCAGGTAATGCGCTCTGGCAGATGTGCCAAAACATCTGTCCCGTCTCAGCTTTTCCCCGCTGTGCCCCCGGCTCTGGGGTGGCAGCACGGCTGGAGGGCACCCAAGCGAGGAGGAGCAGCAGGTGCCTGAGGCTGATGGATACCCTCAGTCCCTGCCACGGCCAGGAAGATTGTCCAGGAGCAAATTAACCCATCAGCCCCGGACAATCAAAGCAGAGAGGGATGGGAGGTGCTCCCTGCCCTCGCTCTTCTTATTGACTCCACTTGACAGATGGGAGCGTGGACACTGGAGCGTGGCCAAAGCTGTTTGCTGGGTCATGGCCTTTCTGATGGAGTTTTCCACCTTTTTCTAAGAGTCCTCCAGGGCTTCGGAGCGCGGGGAAATCCAGGCATGGGGATTTTTCTGCACGGTTAGCACATTTTTAAGGCAGGCTGAAATCGTTTGGGCAGCAAAGCAAACGGGCCCAGAGTAGCAGGGATTCATCAGAGGACTCAGCATCCACTTAGGGACGTGAATTTTCTTGGTTTAACCTGTTTTTCCCTATTTATACCAATCAAAATCTTCCACAACATGAATCAGGACCTGCCACCCTGTGCCTGTCCAGTGTCCAGGGCCATACAATCAGCATTGCCAAAGGCTCCCCTTTCAAATCTACCAAAAAAATCCCCAAAATTCCCAAGAACTTGTTGAAACAAAAAGCACCCCCATGACTGTTTGCCAAGCGAGAGCAACAGGTATTTTAAACCAAATTTCACCCAAACAATATATGGTCACTCTTAAAACTCTGCAAATGGAGCCACATCCCTCCACTCCTAATAGTAGCAGTGATTAAAAAAGCACATCCTTTGGTTGTGTGGGAAGAGGAGAAAATCCAGCATATTCCCTGTGATTTATGAACTGAATGGATGATGAAACCCTTCCAAGGAACTATTTCCTCCATGTTGGTTGGCATCTTCCCAGCATAAACTGATGTTCTGACGATATTCCTCTCTCTGGGAATTTTGAAAGGGAATTATTTGGTGGTGGGAACGCCCCAAGCAAAAGTTTTGCCCTGAAAAACTTGGAATTTGACTTCCAGGTCACTGTAAGCAGCAGGGACAACAGGAAGGGAAAAAGAAATGCCGGGAGAAGGAGCATCTGATAATGCCAGGGAAATAAAGGAAGGCAGCCAGCTCTGAAGTGCTCAGGGAGACTGTCAGTGTTTTAGCACTTTTCAGCAGTTGACTGGCTGGTTTTAACTCCTGGCCAAAGATAGGGTTTGACTCTGCACTGGGAATTTATCATTCTGGGGATTTTTCCTAAGTGAAAAAAGTCCTGGTGTGCTGCAGGTCATGGGCTTAATGCAGAGAGGTGAAAATCAGCTTCAGCTTCATTTTCTCTCTCATGCTTGGAGTCTCCTTGTCTTACCTGTGTGAGCAAACAGAGCCTGATATCCCAACCCACTCCTGCCATGACTCTGGAGCATTTTCCCCTCTATAAAACAGACCCCATCCATCTCTAAGGACCCTACAGCCAGTGTTACACAAAACACCTTTCATAGAATCCCAGAACAGATTGGGTTGGAAGGGACCTAAAGCCCATCTTGTTCCACCCCCTGCTGTGGGCAGGGACACCTTCCACTAGCCCAGGTTGCTCCAAGCCCCATCCAACCTGGCCCTGGACACTTTCAGGGATACAGGGGCACCTGGGAGACCTTTTCCTCTTACTTACTCCCCACATTTGCAGAGGAGGCTGTTGGCCTCCTATAAACTCGTGAGATCCCTGTTTTCCTACTGTTTGTTTTGCATTCATCACCACAATTCCTGCTTCATTTTCCTGATTGTTCCCCACGCTCCACGTTTTCCTCCACTATCCCTGTGTCCCCACAGCACACCCCTGCTCTCCCACCCAGACTGGGACATCCTTTCTCCTCTTCTTTAAGAGGGTGGAAGTGAAGAATGATTTTGCTGAAGGTGGGGAAGGCTCTGGGGACAGACCCATCATCAGGTCCCGGGGGCTCCAAGTGGGATGGTGCCTCTGATCCCATCCTGTGAAGGCACCATTACTTCTTAGGACATGGATTTACTGGTCAGGACTGGTCTGGATGGGGGAAGTGAGAGATCTGCTGTGGCACTTTGAGACCCAAGCAGATCTTGCTTAGCTGGGCAGGTCCTGGGATGGACCAAAGCCTGATGGGACCCTCCAGGTCTTCTTTCCAGAAGAAACTCATTGCACAGGATAGAGAGCCTGAGGTGCCAGGATTAGTGCAGACCATCCAAGGATCAGCAGGCTCAGCTTTGCCACTCAGTGCTTAATTTTGAGCAGTTTATGGGGAAAAAAAGGGTCTTTTACTTGAGATCCCAATGGTGGATCCGTAAGCAGATGCAATTCCTGATGGCTCCTGTTTTCCCAGGCCTCAAGTCCCGGTTCACATTGGAAAAATGTTACAAGATGCCCAGGGCAGAGCAAAGCTTCATTTTATTAAATATAGGAAAGTGGGAGAGTGAGCGCTGGGGGGTGAGGTTTGATGTGTTGCTGTGGCACCTCCCGGGAAAAAAATGAATGTGGGAAGTGGGTTTGGGCCTGCCAGGACACGGCAAATAAATGTGGGCATCACCTGGACACCGTTTTCTTGGAGGAGGTTGTGGTCTCACCAAGGTGGCTGATGCAGGAAAATAACCCTCTGAGACTCTTTTTGGGTATTAGAAAGCAAAAATGGCTGTCTTTATGCAGGAATATTTTCCAAAGTGTGCCTGAGACAACAAAGTCTCTTGCTTTTATTTCTTGACTTAATTACCAATTACCTGAGAGTGCCACACCCACCTCCAAAACCGCCCCTCCCTCGGTACCGCCCTCCCCACACTCCCAAATTTCAGTTGGAGCTTTATAAGAAGATCATCTCTTCATCTTCTCCTCCTCTCTCTCGTCTCCTTCGGGATGTTATGGCATTACCTGGAATGCTTTCAAGGCTTTGGAGAAGCTTTGGTAATATCAGGTGTTATGGCCCTTTTCTCACTCCAGTTCACAGACAGAGAAACCCTTGAACTCGTTAAAATTCCTGCCTCTTGAACATTTTAGAAAACCAGCATAAAGGGACTAGAAAACTGCATAATATATAGTATATGAATGATATAATATGTATATTTAAAATATATAAAATA